CCCCAAAACCCCAAAACCCCAAAACCCCAAAACCCCTTTTATAGAAGTAGTTTTTGAAATTATTGTTTTAGAAAATATTGCATCAGTCGTAAGACCTATTATCGACATCATGACCCATTTGTATTTTCTCCCGTCTCTTGATCCTGATATCTTTGATATATACGCTATTGCCACTTCCTGCGATCAGCATCTGGCCTTCAGTATTGAATTCATTAGTATGGTAAAAGACCAGACTAGAAGCGACTTCATCTTTATTATTATAGAAGATGATCTCCATTCCCATATCGCCAGAATCTCTGATTGTAAATTTGATCTCCAGACTATCCTCAAGCATATGCTCTTCAGAGAAGGCAAGGTTATCTTGAGATGTGCTTGGCTTAGACTTGGCAGCATCTCTCCCGATTTTGCAGATGTCTTGCCTCTTGATGTACTGGAACTTATTTATTACTCTTAATATTCCCAACCATTCATTTTACTCTTGAGCATGGCAACTGATACAGACATTCTTGCTTGTTTATCACTACTACAGGTGATTTGCTATTTTCAAGGATGTTTTCGTCAGCATTGAACCTAGTGAAAACCCATAAATTTGAAGTCCCATGTAATGTAGCCTTGAAGGTAACCTCAAACACTTGATTAGAGAATGAAATATTAGGATTGACTATCTGCGACCTGATATTAATTCCCTTATCTTCACCCAGAATCCGGCTAATAGTCCACTTTTTCTTGACTTTGCAGTCTATATTGTCTTCTTGGGTACCTCCCTCAAAATTTGCGTACTTCCAAGTAATTTCACTAGAAGAATGTGTGAAGGACTTTTGTCTCTCAGTGATCTCAGATCTTGCAAAGGAGCTGTTCACACTGAGTGCTTCTCGATAGCTCGATCGGAGCTCGACCTTGTCTTCCTCCTGACCTGTGTATCCGTCATCACTCTCCATTTTGAGTCAATATTAATTATAAAATATGGGGTTTTGGGGTTTTGGGGTTTTGGGGTTTTGGGGTTTTGGGG